GCAAGGCCTTATGTTCTACTCTGTCAGCCTGGAAGGTCCACGGAAACCTGTGGCCCGTGGGTGACCCTGCTGTTATGTGAAATGCCTGTGGCACAGCTTCCCCCCCTGTAGCACCCCCCCACGCCGCCACGGTACAACAAGCTGACAGATGGGTGGTGGTTTTATGCCTACATCACATTTATTTACCTTCCAGGGGTCTTCTTTGTCCCCAGCCTCTCTGTCTCCACTCAGACCTTCTCTCAAGGAAAGGGGAAGTGGGCCCTGTGTGGTCTTGCCCCTAACCATAGTTTACACCATTCAATCCCTTATAGGATACTTGCCATATGGTGGCAGATACTTTGCCAGGGTAACCAGCAATAAGTATGGGCAGTCCATTCTGGGGAAGACCCTCTGGGGTACCTGATCATATCCCCTCTTCGCAGCAAACTGAACCACCTTTTGCAAATGTAAAGCTTTACATGATTCTGACTGCCCGCCACCCCCACCCCACCCCCACACCTTTTGTCTCTCCTTCTTCACTGTCTGGTGAACCCACCTCATTCCCCCTGACTGCACCGACTTGATTCCTTTCATTTACAGTAGTCACCCTTGGTACCATTTTGGGGGGTCTACGTTAGCTTACTAAATAAATTCTCTACAATCAGTACTTACCAATCAAGCGTGTTCACAATGCAAGCGTGGCCACAAACAGAACGAAGAATGCCGAGTGTCACCTTCACAAATCAAAAACCATCTTCCCCTTTTTGTCCAGGTGGTCATCATGCGGGATTACCACCACGACAATGTGGTTGACATGTACAACAGCTATCTTGTCAGCGATGAACTCTGGGTAGTCATGGAATTCTTGGAGGGTGGTGCCTTGACAGACATAGTTACTCATACCAGGTAAGTGTCTTTTCAAATATTTGTGATTTTCGGACAAGAAGGCCCTGGTGGCCCAGTGGTTACATCCTTGGCTGCTAATCTGAAGGTCAGCACTTGGAGCACCCCAGCTGCCCCACAGAGAAGGGTGTGTGATCATCTGCTTCTGTCAGGGCCTTGGGACCCCCAGAGGACAGTTGTTCTGCCCTTTGGGTTACTATGAGTCAGAATTGGTCCGATGACAGTGGGTTTGGTTTTGGTTTTCATTTTCAGCCTGAGTGAGGCTCTACTGGCAATCTCAATGAACTCCTCGTAAATTATGAGCACTCTGGAGTCATGGGACATGACCACCCTTCTCTACTGATCCCTGAAGTACCTGCTTTAATAGCATCCATGTAGGTTTCATTCACTCCATTCACATCGCCTCCACCCTCCAGAAGTTCATTCATACTGATTAATTCTAGCCGCCATGGGAAATGAAGCTTCTGTCATAAACAGTGGAATTCCCTGTCCTGTCTGCAGATGTCTAGGCCGGTGTGGCAACACCATCGAGGATTTCTAAAGCTGAGTTTTGTTCTGGTGAGCTGCGTGCCAGTGCCATGTGCGGTTACCCCCAAGTGTCTCTGGCGAAGAAAGGCTAGGTGGTGGGTCAAAGTTTGTAGAAGAAAACATTCTTCAGTTATGTTTTAATAGAGTCTTGTAAACAAATAACCAGCACATTGCCTCTCTAGAACATGTGCTAAACACTTTCTATGTGCCATGCTGGGAATATACAGATCACAAGCTGAATAAAACTCAAATGCCTTAGCTCACCAAGATCACAGACAAGAAATAAATGCATTTACTACCAGGGGTGGTGGGGGAGGGGATCAAAAGACACAGATAAATAGCATAGAGAAATATGAGTGTCTCTGTCAAGAGAGTCAGGATAGATCTCCCATAAAAGATGACATCTGAGATGGGGTTTTTGAGAAATTATTGGTTATTCATTGGGCTGCTAATGCAAGGTCAGCAGTTTGAAACCACTAGCTGCTCCTCAGGAGAAAAACTAGACTTTCTACTCCCATTAAGTGTTACAGTATCGGGAAGTAATGGGAGCAGTCTCCCTGTCCTGTGGGGTTGCCGTGAGTCTACATTGGCAATGTAGGCAGAGGAAGATAGTCCTCAAATGTTAGTATTTATGTTAACCACCTGTGGATCTTATAAAACGCAATTTGTGACTCACTTTGGGGCAGGGTTGGGGGATCCTGAAAGTCTGAATTTCTAACCAGCTCCAAGGGGATGCCAATACTGCTGGTTTGTGAACCACACTTGAAGAAAGAAGATGCTAAACACACAGACAAATAAAACAGCATTACCAGTTTGGGAAACTTTTAT